GCCAGAATTGCACAAATACAGAAGGTGTTCATGCTGCCAGTTGCAAATATAACCAGAGAGAAAAAGATGCTAAAATGGCTGCAGACCCTGAGGGAGGCTTTGGAGGAAGACAATGTCATGCAAAGCAACTACAAACTACCGACACCTTGGGTAGAAAGGTTCACAGTGATGCCTATTCATCCTATCCTCTCAGCAACATAATTCCAACATTTTAGTTGCCTGAAATAGGTGGACTGCTTTTTCAACAAGCGCTCTCCCTCCCTCCCTCCCTCCCTCCCTCCCTCCCTCTCTCTCTCTCTCTCACACACACACACACACACACACACACACGAATGTGCCCATAAGTACGCTTGAGTTCCAGGATGCTCTACATTAGGTTCTGCTAGCCTGCTTTCTCCATTGCAATTATTAATTTCCTGTCCCTTCACAGAGGCTGGTCTGTCTGCCTCCATCTCACTCTGAAATGAAAAGGCAAGCAGGAGCAATCACTTGAACTATAATTTAGCTTAAAGGCCCTATCTCAATTGTCCTTCTGGATTATCATTAATCACAGAGGGTAACTAACAGTAAGTGCACTATGGAGCTACCTGCCAACAGATCAGAAATGCACTGATACTGGACAACTGTTGACATAGATTTGGGGCTGATCTGAATGATCTTTTAAGTGTGTCCCCCCCCCCCCCCACAACTCTGGTTGTGAAATGACATTGTTAGATAGTGTCAACATGATTAGGTGAGTCTGGCCTTGCTGATCACCTAGCTAAGGCATGGGTGTCATGAGTACAGCTGGGAGATAGCCATGTGTACAGCTCTGGGCAGAAGCTCATTTTCTCTCCCCACCCCGAAGGGATGTGTTAATTTAGAGACATGTGCAAACAACAGAAGCAAGCTGTGTGTGTAGCAGTTGGTGGCCCAGTTTTTCAGGCTTAAGCAACCCCCGGGCAGTGATGAACAAGCTGGGAAGAGCGAGCCCTTGATCGTGATGACCAAAACCAGAACTGGAAGTTGTTGTGGGGAAGAACATCCCAGCCTTGCTGGAACCCACAGCTTGTTCTTGGGTTACAAATCTTGGTTATTCCTTCCCCATAAACCTCCAGTTCTGGGTATGACTGTCACAGTAAACAACGAAGGAATAAAACAATAGGAGCACAGAACACCCTTGGAATGTTTACCTGGCAGAAGAAGCCAGACAGGTGGGAATCAGCACATTCTTTCACACTCAGTACATGATCAGCTCTTGGTTACAAAAGCACGGGTTCTTCATCATGTGTAAACTGAGCCAATCTGTGCCGAAACAAGATATTAAAAGGGGCCAGAAAGCTAGCTTGCTTTTTGTGAGACCTTTGGTGGGAAGGTCTGTGCAATGTTGAAGTTGTGGACCCTCATTTTAAGTTCAGCCTGTATAGATGTGCAAATAAGCCTTATATCACGGGAGCACCCTAAGCCTTCAGTGACCTTCTAAAGCCAGTGAACTTCAGTGACCTTCTAAAGTAAGTGACTTTCTAAACTGCTGAAACCCCTGAAACTTCTCCATGCTTGTAACAATATCAATAGAGACACAGACAGTATCATCATGTTCTGGACATAAGATTGCAGTTGAGGAAGCTACTTTATACCTTTGGTCCATCTAGTTCGGTTTTAATCAAATTGACTGAAAGTGGCTTTCCAGGTTTTCAGCCAACAGTCTTTCCCACTCCTATCTCGACATACCAGAAATTGAGACCAGGACCTTTGACAATGCAAAGCATGTGCTGTTCCATGAGTTGTACCCTCCCATTCTATGCCTCTTGTTCATTTTTCATGCCTCATACCTACATCGTTTCCTTACACCTAGGCTGATATTTAGGAATATGTCCTCCTCACATACTTTGGTACCTCTGTATAAAGTCCCAGGCCGATGAATTATTGTTTAAATAAACTGAATTGAGATCTAGGAACCAAAGAAGGTTACTGAGCTCTATTTTGGTGCTGCAAGAAACTAAAGGAAGAGCTATGGGATTGTACCTCGAAAGTCAGGGATGGTATATCACTGAAGCTGTGAGTCCCAAGGAGAATAATTCACGGAAGCCTGGATCCTGAAGATCAGTTGCCCTCCCACCAGTGTGCAAGCAAACAAAACCTTGGTGCAAAAGAGAAAACGAGGAATAGCAGCATATTTCTGCACAGTCAGGGTTGACCTGTGTGTCAATAAGCATGCATGGCACCCAAGACTGGAGAATGCAAGGCAACTGTTTTTATGAGAGTTGAAAATCTTTTGGGAGATGAATTATGTCTCATAGAACAAACTCTATCTCTCTAGCTACCTAGCTATCCATCCATCCATCCATCTATGAGAGATAAAGAGATAGCACACCAGTTTGCTTCCTAAATGTCTCTGTCGTGTGTGTGTGTGTTGACTTTGTCACCTTTAGTCAAATAGGTTTTCAAACAAAAATGTCAAAACCTGTTTATCATTGTTAAAAGTAGGGTACGAGACCACGCCATCCGGTGAGAGCCCTTTCAAGAAAGGCTATAATTTTTGTCTCCAGCCAGAGGTTTCCAAACAAAAATTACACTAGATAGGCTTATATATAGTTCAGTACCTATACAGTTTTATGATATGCATCCATCTTACAGTATAGCATATATGACAAAGTAAACATAGCATCACATTACATAGACACATGCCATATTATGGTTCAGTACATATTCAGGCTTTTAATCTGGCTTATACTCACACATTCCAGGCAATGTTCTGGAGGCTACATAATTGATGTTCCTATCTTGAGTGGCGAGCTTACCATGGGCAGTATGTTATGTACAGATATATAAACTTTCCAATTGAATTCAGTCAAGAACAATTGAGTCTCGGTTTCCAGAATGAACCGGCTGGGCAGAAAGCTAAATCTACTTCCATTTATCCTCTCGTACCCCAATGCACCCCTGAGCAATTTTTCAAAATAAAAATAAGTTTGCTGAATGCCTGAAAAAGAGTTGTCTTTAAAAAATAACAACAAAACTCTGCCCTAAGCATGGAGAGGAGTGGAAATCTGAGCTGGAATTATTCCTGTTCAGGGTTGAAGGATGACACACGGAGTGGTGGGGTGGGCGGGGGGATTGAGACAGCTTATATCTGATAGTGTGTTACGACTTATTAAAGTTCCATGTCTGTCATCTGCATTTTGGCCACCTGTAACTTCAGAACAGTTGTGATTATTTGCACCTGAATATTAACCACAGGGCCAAAGTAGAGGTGACTTTCAACTTTAGAAGATAAACAGCAATCCTGGGCAGGAAGGGAGGTAACTCTAATCAAAACCTCCATGTTTTACCCCACAGAACAGTGTATAAGTAGGGGTGTGATATTTCTAATTGGTAAAATGATATAAGGGGAAAGGTTAAATCCTGATGGGATTTCATTCTGCTCTACCAGTAGCCATTATTAAACTGTAAACAGAAAATTTGATCTCCTGATACCATGTCCATTTGTACTTTCAAGGATTCCTTGACTTGTGATTTCCAGCACTGCAGGGAAGTTCTCACTTCGACCAGCAGGCAGAAGGGTGCCACTGGGACTAACAGTATCAGAGCTGCTGGAGGCAAAGTTAACAATTGTCTCAGGGTATTGTCTGGGTTTGTTTTTGGATCCTTATCCACAGGAATCCATCACAACAGGTAGTATAGATGGATTATCATATAATCCGTGACACCTCAATATTTCATGAGGTTCTTCATTCTGGCTCCAAGCCATAGTTTGTTGAGTATGACATCACAACTTTCCAAGCCATTCTAAAGAAATGCCTTCTCCCAGTTGTTCATTTTGAAAAGGCATAGTATGGAGAACTCTAACGGATTTTGTCAAAAGTCTTTTTAGCAGTGAGGGTAGAAGACCCATGAGGCCCAGAGAGAGAAGCGCACCATGGTGGTGGTGACTTCATTTCTCCCTTCTTGGAATGCACACTGGATGTTAATATGAATGCCTGGTGCTCCAGGGACACCCAGTGGTAACGCGTGTAGTGGCTTGCCGGCAGACTTCTGAACTTGCTGGTAAGTACTGCTGCTTGAGAAGGGAGGAACCCAACACCCTTAATGGAGGTGGCAGCCAAGGCCGGGGCTTGCCCACTGAATGGGTCACAGCTCCCACTCAGGCCCCTGCCATCAGCTTCATTGCTGGTGTCAGCCACTGCTGCTCACTCAGCAGGTGTGTTACCATCTCCAGCCTGTCCCTTCCAAAACGGGCACTGGCTCTGTACCTGCATGCGGCAGGAGAGCTCCCTGATAGAAGCCCAACCTTCTGCCAGTGAACTGCTGCATGGAACTCCCTTCTCCACCCACAGCCAGGTTCAGCCCCCATGCCATCATTGCCTTCTCTGATCAGGAAGTGACCCGTGCCATGGTCCTGCATCATTTAAGCTGCCTCCATAAGAAGAAAGCAAACACAGGACAACACTTCTGTTTTATCTGGACTGAGCAGCAAGCGTGCTAGGCTGTCTGAGCGATGGACACGCAAGAGGAAAAGCATATGTCACTTTCTCTGTTGCAGTGGGCAACTCGCTTCTGACATCAGGATGGTCCTCTGAGTAAGAAACTGAGACGTAAAATGTTGACCTCAGGAGGACTCATGGAAGGGCATCCCTTTTTGATATGGTTGGATAGGAACCACCTAACTTAAACTCAAGAGATTTAAAAAATGTGTGTGTGTTGAGGAGACTTCTACAAATGCAAAACCACACCCAGCTCACACTGATGGTTTCTCCTCAAACTTATTTTGGTAGTTGCTAAACAATTTGTATTTGCAGCTCTTGTCTTGAATCTGCCCACATCCCATCATTTGTGAATACACACACTGTTGGTAAGTCAATGAAGCACTGACTGCTGGACTCTATTTAGGTCAATGGACAATATTTGTGTAAATTAAATGGACAAGCAATTGTCCTCATGGGAGGCTGAAGACAGAACAATGTGTTTAACGTGCACTGCAAGGATTTGTGGGTAAGAAAGACCATGGAACTCTTTCTTCTTTAAAAGTCCATGTTCTTGAAGTCTATTGAACATCGGTATCGGCCATCATTGAATTTGGAACATATGAAGTTTGGCAAACATGGACAGGTGTGATGTTGCCTTTTTCCAAAGAAAGGGACCTTTAAGAGAACAGAACACAGAACATTAATTATACGCAAAAGCCACAGCTAGGCAATGCTTTCTCTTAGAACCAAAAAGTATGCAAGCTCTGGCGTTCTCCACAACATCTTCTTCTCGTTAGGTGGTACAAAAACAGGGGGGTGAAGGTGGGAATATCACTACCAAAGTAAATTGCTGGGTAAAGAAAGAAGTGTGGAAAAGTAAAAAATTGACAGATCTGCTGGAATTGGCCTTATTGGATGGTTCTTCCTGAGACTGGCTGAGGCAGCAAGCCTGCTTCTTCTGGCCACAGGAGAGGGAGGCCGCAGCCTGTGAAAGCATAGTGGAAAGGCCTTTTGCAAATAAAAATGTGGATTTGTTTCACCAGCTCGTGGACAGAAAATAGGACTTAAGCTTAATGGGGACATTCTGATGCATAAGGCTTGATCCAGCTCATGAGGTCCAGCGAGAGAAATACACCTTGTTAGTGGCGACTTCATTCAGTGGGGCTGGCATGGCATTGAAAATGGTATGGAAAATTTGGTGTCACCTGAGGACAGTGTTCTTCAGGAAGGAATAGGAATGATTCTGCCCAAGTGCCACTTACATCTTATAATAAAGTTTAATCTTTCCAGATAACTAGAATAATAGAGGTCTGTGACTACTTTGTAATAGGACAATTGGTTGACCTTCCACACTCAATAGGTTCCCTCTTCTAGGACCAAGGAAATGGCTTAAATGCAGTGGGATCTGCATTGCACAGGAAGGCCTCCAGGATTCTGGCCACTGTGGACAGATGGACAGCTCATTGCACACAAACATGTAGCCACAGAGATTTCTCCTCAAGATCCCATACTTGATGGAAGAGTTTCCATACAGGAAAAGCACCATGTAGTGTGTCCCGGGGTCTTTTTTTCTAACGGACCATCTTGTATTGCAAGTGCTGTCCGCACAGCATCCAGATTTGAAAAGTCTGGTACTGGGCAAGAACAAAGGTGGCAGCTGAAGTAATGCAGGCAGCCAAAGTGGGGTTCTGCAATGGGAGCAGCAGAACCAACTGCCTCTTGCATGGCAGGAATAAGTATTTCAGGGAGGGGAAGCCCAATGACAGGATTCCTCTTTCCCTTACAACTGGGGAGGCTAAACCACTTTTGCTCTGGGGGCTGGATAGCAGTCCTGCATCAAGCTGGCAGGCCTGATTCCATCAGGGGACCAGAACTCCAGCCTGTAGGCCAGCAGCCTCCCATGGCATCATTCACCACCTCACCCACTTCCTCCCCTTCTGAGTAAGCCATCCAAGGCAGAATGTGAGCAGCCCTACCTGGGTGATACAGGGGATCCCCAGATTGTTTTCAGGGATGAATTCAGACACCATGAGAAGCCAGGTTTCAATCAACCACACCATAGTTTAGTGTTACGGGCAAACCAACCAGGCCTTTGTATGAGACCTGAAATATTCAAATGCCTTGGAGGCAGCGATAGAACAATTATTAAAACTCTTCTCTGCCCACCGCACAGGGCCCTGGTTGTCATGATACATGAAGAAGCTGGGCTGCCAGTCATCATAATCAGCATGGATAAGGTGCTTCTTCTGTACTGGTTAAAACTGGAAAAGATGGGCGAGAAGGCTGGCACACTCAGGGATGTGTGATGGGTTCGCCAGATAGCCATAAACCATCTGTAGATATTCTAACTGCAGTAGATGCTGAGATCAACAAAAGGGCAGAAAATATACATGATGTTCATTGCACTCTGGGGTATTCAAGTGTATCGTGTCCAAGATCACGTCCAGTTTTCAAAAATTGCCATTTCACCCCCTGAGGAAATCTTTTGTAGTTACTCGGCTGCCTGTGTTGTATTTGGGTAAAAGCTTTAATAGCGTTACAGTAGAACTCTGGTTTTGCATATGTAGCCAGAACTGAAAATATAACTCATTGAACAAGGCACCTGCAGGGATTATTGTGTCAGCTCATATAATGGGTTTGTGGGGTTTATGGAAGCCTCTAGAACCATGCTATTTGCCACCATGACTGCACTTGCAAGCTTGCTGGTTTTTTGTGATCTCTGGCTCAGCCTAAAAGTGCATCAGTTTAAAAACAGTTGCTACTGATTAAGGGACCACAGGGGCACTGAGGACCCTTGCAAATACCTTATGACTGATGGGGTGGCATTCGTCTCCCTCTTGCCCTAATGGAGTGCACATCCGGAGCCCACGAAGCCACAAGCTGATGGCGCAGCATGTCCCACCTCCGCACTGGAGATCTCTTTCACAGGCCTGGAAAGAAGCACCACGATGCTCTGAGTTACTCCTATGGACCTTTGGTGGTGTTGCGTGCCATCAAGTCATCTCCCACTTATGGTGACCCTATGAATGAATGCCCTCCAAAATGTCACGTCCATGACAGCCCTGCTCAGCTCCTGTAAATTCAAGGCTGTGGCTTCCTTTATGGAGTCAATCCATCTATTTGTCCTCCTTTTCTTCTTCTGTACAGGACTATGCAGGGAGGAAAAAGCTTGGAATCAACCTGACATTACTGGGATGTGTAAGTCATTGAAAGGTTAAAGCCGCACCCCTGTGATGAAAACTTCATAGGCTAGGAAGAGAGCAACCATGAATGAAAAACATTGGGAGAAAAAGAGGCAGGGAAGTAGATACAGTAACAATGCATCCGAGATCATTCTGGCAACCATGAGGAACAAGTTTCTCTGTATTTAGGAAAGGCATTTAGTTAAGGCATCAGCTGTGAGGGCCCCTCTGCTAAAACACCATCCCACCCCCCTGCAGGCTTCTTGGTAGAAATAGGAGTCCAGCATCTGTGCAATCTGTGATGGACGCATGCGATGGATGCCCACCAATGTGACAACCCTTTAGGATGCCTGGTGGCTTCCCAAACACTTGCTGCCACTGCCATTGAAGCCAAGGAGACAGGTGGCAGAGTGGGATGGCCCAGCCGGCCACTAGGCTGCTGTTGCCAGCCGGCCACTAGACAGGCACAACACCCAGCGGCCTTTTCAACTTTATCATCTGGCCTGGAAATTGAAAATAAATTTGGTGTAAAACAGGCAGCATGGATCATCTTGATACAGGGGATCTTTTGACCTTGCCCTTTCCCCCCTTCAAAGCCACCTCTTTTTCCTTCAGTCTCAGAAATGCAGCTCCCAACACGGTCTCCAAAACTGAGCTCCAGATTGGAGCTCTGGGCTGAAGGCAGTTCACCGCTGCTGGAGCAGAGCAAAAGCAGCAGGGGCAAACAAACTAGCTTGTTTTGGGTGGAAACTAGGCAAAAGCGGGGAAAGCCCCAAATCTTTGGTGGTTGGGGCAAAAGTGGGGTGCAACCAGTGGTCAGACTGAAGCCCTGCAAGGGACGGAGAGTCTCTCTGGGACGGAGAGTCCCCACCCCCACATGGAGGATATGAGGACAACAATGTGTTGTGTGCTCCAAGGACTTCCATTTTACTCCCTGTCCTATTTCCTGATCCCAAATTATGGCTTTGACACACAAGAGAGAGAAAGTTCACATGTTTAGTGCTTCACGTAGTCTAGGGCTCGCCCTTGCTGTAGGAAAAGTTCTCAAGGTTCAGTCTTGATGTGCCGGGGGATTGCATTTGTTCCTAGTACACTTTATGCTCTGCCCTGCAGGCTTCCCTGGCCACTCCTGTTCTTGGGAATCCATGATCTGGTGAATTGGCCACACTGGCTATTCTGTAAGGTGCAGGGAAGCCCTGCCTTTGAGTAATGAGTTAAAGGATATGCGATATGGTTCGCCACACATGTCTTGATGACAATATATCTTTCTCCATGTGTGGTTTCATCATTGTAATACTAAATTGGGTTGATCCTTTAAAAATATCTGCTTCTCCAGTCACTCAAAAATTGTCTGACTCACTTATGTGCCACAGCTGTGACAATTTAAATAGATAAAAGTCAGGGCACATACATAATAATGCAATTTCCTGCATCTATTAAAATTCAAATAGTTTAAAATTAAGTAAAGATGAGGGAAGTAAGTATGAGTCTTATTCAAGAAAAATTCTAAACAAATAACAAGTGAGTTCTCTCAAGCCTATTCATGGGTCGTTACACTGCAGGCATCAGCATTATTTAGGAAACAGGAAGTAGTCTGTGAAGAATGAAGTGATCAGTATCCTGTTATTAGAATGCAAGATTTGATGGTTTCTTCCTTGTCTGATTTTGTTTTTTATTTGAGGGCACTGAGGCAATTGAGATTCAAATGCTTGCGCCTGGCTTTTGATTAATGCTGTTTCTGTTCAAATGCTTGGGGGGTTACGTTTAGAAATAATTTTACTTTCAACACAGAATGCCAAGTTTCTCAAAAGAGCAAATTAATCTTCAAAAAAATCCAACCTTTGTAATGTTCAGGTTAGAAGGAATGCGAATACTATTGGCTTTGGTTTTAAATACACGTTTAATATAGTGAGTTTTTTCTAATATGAAGAACTGGTTACAAAAGTAGCACATGACATCCACGGAAAAATCATAGCATAGTGAATTATGGGTCCATTACAATCCCATAGGAAGGATTTCAGTGGAACAGAGGAAACTGCCTTATGCTGCCAGACCGTGGTGCCATTCACCCAGGTTTGTTGACCCGGAACAGTAGTGACTGTCCCTAGAGAGTTTCCTGCAGAATTTTTCCAGCCCTGCCTGGTAATGCTGAGAACTGATTTCTCAGCTGACTTTAAAATGTCTTCTCGAAAGTGGTTGCCCCCAATGTTATTTACTTTCTGCACCCATTTGAAACCTTCCTTTTTGCCCAGTCAATTCTACATTTTCTTCACAAAGAGATTTGATTTGAGCTAAAAACAAAAATGCAGATATATAGGCAGTGGAAGGAATGCCAGGTGGAAAAAGAAGAGTACAGACAGGTGGCACAGAAGCACAGGAATGGCATCAGGAAGACTAAAGCTGAGAATGAGCTGCAGCTAGCAAAGGGTGCTAAAGGGAACAAAATGCTTTTTTTCAGGTATGTGCACAGTAAAAGACAGAGAAAAGAAATGATGGTTCCACTTCTCAGTGAGGAAGGAAAATTGGTAACAGATGATAAAGAGAAGGCTGAAGTGCTCGATTCCAACTCTGGCAAAAAAAAGTACAAACCGAAGGGTGAGGATTGAAGCTTGAGATTAATAAACAAATGGCTAAGGAGCACCTTCCTTCTTTGAGTGAGTTCAGGTCTCCAGAGCCTGATGAACTGCATCCTAGAGTGAAAAAGGAACTGGCAGAACTCTCAGAACCACTGTCTATTATCTGTGAGAAATCATGGAGGGTAGGAGAAATTCCAGAGGACCAGAGGAAGGATAATGTTGTTGCTATCTTCCAAAAGGACAAAACAGAGGACCCTAGGAACTATGGACCTGTTGGTCTGACATTAATCCCTGAAAAAATGCTGGAGCGGATAATAAAAAAGTCAGTCTTTAAACACACTGCAGACAGTGCAGTAATGACTAGAAGCCAACATGGATTTATCAACAAATTTTACCAGACTAATCTGATCTCAGTTTTTGATCAGGTAACCCCGCCTTGCGGACTGTGGTGGACATAATATACCTTGACTTCATAAAGGCTTTGAAAAAGTGGCTCAGGACATTCTGGCCAGCTGGCTAGCTAACCGTGGCTAGATGGAACAACTATCAGTTGGATCCACAATTGGCTACAGAATCAGACTCAAAGGGTGCTTCTCAGTGGCATCTTCTCAGATTCAGGAAAGGTAGCAAGGACTGTACCACAGGGCTCAGTCCTAGAATCAGTGCTCTTCAACATTTGTATTAATGACTTGGATGAGGAGGTGCAAAGAATGCTGATCAAATTTTCAAATGACACACCATTGGGTGGGATAACTAATACCCTAAGACAGAAACAAAATTCAAAGTGACCTTGATAGGCTGGAGTGCTGGGTGGAAAGCAACAGAAAGAAATTCAGTTCAAAGGACAAACGTCAAGTTCTACACCTTGGAAAAGGGAACCAAATGCAGTTACAAGATGGGGGATACTAAGCTCAGCTATTCTACAAACAAGAAAGATTTTGTAATTGTTGTAGATCACAAGCTTAATATGAGCCAACAATGTGATGTGCAAAAAAAGCAAATGCTCTTTTGGGCTGCATTAACACACACATATCTTCCAAATCATGTGAAGTGCCGGTTCTCTTCTATTCACCACGAGTTATGTCCCATCGCTGCATCCAGTTCTGGGCTCTGCACTTAAAGAAAAATGTTGATAAGCTGGAAGAGGTTCAGTGGGGAGTGACAAGGTGACCAGGGGCCTGGAAACAAGGTCATATGAGGACAGACTGAAATACCTGGCCTTGAGAAATGAAGATTGAGGGGAAGTAGGATAACGCTCCCCAAATACTCGAAAGGCTGTCACACAGAGGGAGGACAGGATCTCTTCTCAGTTGTGTCACAGTGCAGGACACAGGATAATGGGCTTAATTTACAGGAAGCCAGATGCCAAATGTACATCAGGAAAAGCTTTCTGGCTGTCAAAGCAGTATGGCAATGGAGCCAATTACCTGGGAAAGTTGTGGGTCCCTCACAGTGGAGGTATTCAAGAGGGATCTGTCAGGGATGCTTTAACTTAGAGTCCTGCATTGAGCAGGGGGTTGGCCCTCCCCAGCTCTAGTATTCTATGATTCTATGACATGTCTAGATGTTTCGCCGCAATTTGAAAATACCACTCTACATTAGGAAGACCAGATTCAAAAAGAAAAAGGGTCCTGCACCTTTTTAAAAGGGACTAGGTGCACGTGAAATTCCCTCACCATTTCATTGTGAAAGGTGCAAGAGCTCTGCTTCCTTTTCATCTGCTCACCCAACTACACATGTGAAAACTGAACATTAGGGAGACATTAGAGATTTTCTCCTTGACATACTGAATTTTCACTGGTCCTGTTGTTCTGATACCTATCATTCCCTATCACTGAAACTTACCATCCCCTTTAGCATGGAAATGTTAACACTTCTAACCTTTACAGCTACATGGAAATACCTACTTTCTACATACATATGGAAACAACCAGGGCCAACCGGAATCTGGAATGATAAATTGGAAAGTCATGTGCAAATATTTCCAGCTAATTCCATTATTTGTTTTACCTTGAATACCATTATTTGTTTTACCTTGCTGTCTAGGTAATTATAACCTTGAATGCCTTGAGTTTTACATAGATATTTCTCCAGGCTCTCAATTCAGGAGAGCCTAGAGGAATGTTGTCCATGGGGTCATTATGGGTCAGACATGACTTTGCCACTAAACAACAATTGAACCAATTACAAAAACTGTTCTACTCAAGTTATGAATAGAAATGTTAGCATTCTTTTAGCATCTGGGTTCGAAAGCTCATCATAGGCATATTATTAATACAGAACCTTCTATATGAGATTTAAACATTTTTAAAACTTCCCTTATGAAATAAATGGATATCAAGATGCTTAATTTTGTTGGCTTAGTCTAGTAACCTTTTAATCCTGAAACTCTGCTTTAAACTATGTCAGCATCAAATATGAAAACCAAGAAGCATGGCTGCTTCCCAGGAATGTCACACTACCTTCAGCTTCCCAAATTTTGTGGACCACACACCTTGGCTGAGAAACAGGCTTTGTTTGCAGCTATCTACAAAGTGCCATAAGGCACTGAAGTCAACACAGCACCAAGCTGATTCTCAGCCAGAAATGAGTGAAAAGAGACACATGCCATGGACTGCTTCTTGGGTGACCAGGGCTGGCTCTGTCATAGCACAGAATGCAGCAGTCCACCCAAAGCAGGAGAGGCACAAGTCCCGTTAAAGGGCTACAGCACAATGCCAATTAGGAGCAGCTCAGCCCTGTGTTGGTTTGCTCAAAAGTAACTCGCAATGTGGCTTGTTCCCAAGGAAGCAGGCAGCCTCACTGCATCGCCTCCAGTCTCACTGCATTCAGTGAGATTTATTTCCAGGTAATCATAGGATTACAATATGTAAAATGTGTGTATTACTATAAAGGCTGTGGAATAATTTCTAGCATTTCTATATATAACACAGGCATTTTAAACACTTGAGTTCTTAGGGCATCCTGCTGTAAGCAGCCTTCAAATCTGGGAGAGTTTTGCCACCTAGTCAAAATCAGCTGATGCAGGAAGGATTGTCATTTTCAGCCAAATTGTGCAACTGCTCGTGAGAGCAGTCTTCTTACAACATCAGTGTAAAGCACGATATGTGGTTGCCTAGAATGTCTGAGGCTACTTTTGCCATTAAGAAAAATGAAAGATGAAACTTATAATAGAGAACTAGCTGCAACGACCTTCTGAGAATGAGATGTTAATTAGCATGAGCAGGTGATTGAAAATATCTTTAGAATACATCTGCACCAGCTCTGGGCTGATAACCAGTGATTTTTTGTTTAAGCAGCTGTAGATAGGACAAGACAGTATGTCTTGAACAAATATGTAGTTTATGTCTTCTGGTTTTATTTAGGAAGTCATAAATAAGCAAAGTTGATAGCGTTATTATCAAAATCAAGAGAAGATTTCTATACTTAAGAGTGTATTTATAAAGAAAAAAAGGGAAACAATTAGGCATCACAGACAATCAAGCTGGTTTTATTATCTAGCACTGGTGGTTAACTCCTCTTTTAAAACTGAAATAAAAATAATTTGCCATTCTTTTAATCAGCATACTAACCTCTGACGTTTTACATAAAAATTACAGTGCAATCCTGAACATTTCTACTCAGAAGTATGCTCATAGTACTTACTTCTAGGTAAGTGTGTATTTAACTACAACTTCAGGTCACATTTTGAGTTCTTCCCCCATGCCTGCAGCCATAATTGTTAAAAACATCCTCTGAAATAGATTTGTACCCAGTTCAACGACTTAAGACATTCTGCAAAGCTCAGGTAATATAAGGCAGCCTTCCCCAAGCTGGTATCCCCCAGATGTGTTGGACTGCAACTCCCATAATTCCCAGCCATCATGGATTTCTGGGATTGCAACCCGACACATCTGCAGCTTGGGATGGCTGCTTTATGTCTTAAAATTAATAATTGAAATAGCTGATGTCAACTGCAGTTAAGTTTTCATTATGTGCGCTGGTGCTGGGAATTTTGCAGGGTGATTTTTTTTATATCTTGAATTTACAAAAGATTTACACATTTATTTAGGTAAAAAAGTCACCATTGTACATCCATTTTTTAAAAAATGTAATTCCCTCCTTTAATTTCTTATAGTGAGTTTTTTTTACACCTTGACTCTAAAAGTGCTAATGTGGAAACTCATTGTACTTTTAGAACAATAACTTTACCATTGGAGTGGTTAGGTCCAAATATTCAAGTACAGATGTGGTCATTTGTGTAAGCTATCAATATAAGAAAAATAGTGTTGCAACTGCTATTGAAAATATTGCAGTGATGGAAATAAACGATAATGATTCTAGTTTTTAAAATGCTCAGATCCAAATGTTGGGCATGTGCCAATAAGACTTTTGCTCTGTAAATCCGGCTGCTGCCTTGCTTCTTCCCCGTACTTGCCAAATTAACCGTCCATCTCCATAGCAAATGAAGCACAATTTGACAATGCACACCGGACAGACTCCTTTCATAATGGCAAAGAGACAAGCAAGGTTTAAAAAGGAAACTTACCCCTGTGATCACTGCACACTTGTACAAGGTTATAAACAGAAAGAAGCACAAGATTTGTATAATTATTTTCATGATGAGTGAGGAAATGATTAAATCCTTGTCTTTCTCCTCCTTTCTCACACTCTCTCTTTCATGTCACAGTTGCAGTGTGATGTTGTGAGTCCCTCTTCTCCCTCCTGCCTTGCTAGGTTCTCAGTGAGATCTGATCGCATCCTCGTCTCCTGGCTCTCTATTTAACATCTCAGCCCTTTTCAATCTCTTTTGCTGATGTGATACTTACCATGATGATCCCACACACCACAGATGAGGCTGGCATCTATAGCATAATAAAACAGGAAGAGGAGGAGGAAGAGGAAGTGAGCGTCACCTTTGTGGTCTCTGAAAGGTTTAATTCATGTGGAATTTGGACATGCAGAATTTTTGGTTTGTTTTATTTTAAAGCTAAAGTTGGTAGACCTACACATAATACAGGACCCATCATTTTCAGTATTTTTAAATTGACCTATTATACGCATGGGTCTTTCAACTTTTGGGTATCTGGGGAGGAAGATGCTTTTTTAAATGATCACTAAGGGTGTGATCCAATGCATGTTCAGAAAGAAAGACGTTCTACAACTTCAAGCATTCCACTGCCACCTTTGCTTACATTCAAAAATGAAAGAGGGGAAAGGGGAAAGGGAAAGAGCTATTCCCTCCAGGTACAACAATGACCAGGTCAGTTTTATTGATCCACGAAAGCAGACCTGGCACAAATGGCTTGGTTTATCACCAGCCCTGGCCATAGAGACCAGGCAGTCTAGTCTTTCCCTGCTAGTACCAGCCCAATCCTCTTTCTGATCTTTTATTTCCAGAGGAGGCCAACACAGGGGAACACAGAAAACATAGAGAACTGCCTTCTGCCAGGACAACCCACTGGCTCATCTAGCCCAGCATTGTCTACGTTGGCAGCAGCCCCCTGGACCTTGGCCTTTTCCATCCCCGGCTACCTGACCTTTTCTCTGTAAGTGCTAGGCATGGACCCTGGGACCCCCATAGACACAGCCTGCACTCCGCTGCCATCACCCTCTAAAGTCTCTGGGCAGAGATGGGTCACTTATGACTCTCCAGAGGATTTTGCGCTGCAGCTTCCTTCCCCACCAGCTATGCTGACTAGGCTGGATGGTTAAGCAGCCCTCCAAAGCATCTGGAGGCCCACACGTTGTCTGTCCCTGGTGCAAAAGGGCTGGAGGTCACTGTCCCAACCCCTTCCTGGCAGTGGAGAGTCAGTGCAGAGCGGATCGTAGGGAAAAGAGTGGGGATGGGCACATCTTCATGCCCTGCCTGAGAACTTCTTGAACGCATCGAGCTCACCTTCCCCAGCTTGGTCTAGATCTGTTAGACTGCTGCTCCCATCCTCCCCACCCGGCGTGGCTTGTGGCCTTCCCTGACTCTGTGCCCTCCAGGTGTGCTGAACATCCGTTCTCATCAGTCTCAAATGTGTACTGGGCAATGGCAAGCAAAGCTATGGTTTCTTTTCAAGACAAATGAACATGGCACACAGGCCATGAGCAGGCTTTGCTTCCTTAAGTGCCTGCCACAGGAAAGACCATTTCCTACAACTGGTCCATGGAATGGATGGCATCATGACAAGAACAGGATGGTCTGACTATGTGCAAGAGCAGCCGGAGCCTGAGTTAGTTCACTGTGAAAAGCACTGTTTTCATTTCATTATGTTAGGTCATTTGCAAGTATCCACCCACCTGCTTTAGTCAGTATCTGTAATAAACAAACCACTGAGATGTGTATGCACAGCAGCATCCTGATGCATCCAGATTTATAATTAATCAGCGACTGGACCTATTCTATCTGTCTTCTTAGGATGACATTTAATCTTAGCTAACCTTAGTTGCTTTGTCCAAGCAGTGACACCCTCAGGCCTGGTCTTAGATGCTGCTATTGCTGCTGTCAGCCTCCCCAAGATGGCTGGGTTGATAGGAGTTGTAGTCCAAAACAGCTGTAGGGTGCCAGGCTAGCAATGGTTCCCGGGCTGCTGCTCTCATTTCCCCATTCCCAACTTTGCCCTCACTGTTGCACTATAATCCTGTCCCTTGATGATAAGTGGTGGAGGAACCAGGATGGACTCCATCAGCCTCGGTCAGCAGGTCCATTGGGCAGAATGATGGGAGATGTAGTCCAGCAATAAATGCTCTATTACATTTGAGCTCAACTTTTTCATGGCTGGCCTTTTACACCCATTCCAAGGCAACCACTTTAAATATTTAAGCATATACATTATCTTTCTTCTTCTCATCTCCCACCTTCTCTCTTTCACATCCTTTGTTTCTTTTCCATGCTGTAACTTCCTTCTCTTAAAAAAGGGGAAACAAAAGACCTTAAATCAACCAGCCAACCAACACAAGCAAGGAAATGGAGGTACCATTGGCACCATCTAGTTAGGTCATTACCCACTTACGGGCCTGTCCCATCAGTCCAAGACTTATGCTCTCTTATGATCTTAATTTAGGCTCACTTGGTGTGTAGAAGTGCCACTTTGCAATTCATTCCTTCATGGGCATTGTGCTTATTTGTTTGAATGCAAAGCATTCTGGGACTAGCTTGTCCCAGGTGAAAGCATGGTTGGGAAAATGCTGCTTAAGCCTTTTTCTTTGACATAATGTTCAGCTCAGACTCTCCCTCCAGCTAGAGGTGGGCATCTCCTGCCTTCACCCTGCCAATGCAAAAGTACTCCAGGCTGTGTGCTTTTGAGCAAGGTCTCCTGTGTCTCCTTAGGGCCATGGCTCGTCTGGAGTCAAACTATTGCCCAGTATTGTCAACACTGGCTAGCAGGGAGGTAGCTTAGTTAATTTTGGATGCCAGTTTAATGATCTAATGCAGGGAGCGGGCATGAGATTCCCAGCTGTATCCCTTCAGTTATACAGCACTTAGCTAGCACTGCTCCCCAACCCATCACACCATTCTATGCTTGACAACTAACAGCTTCTCTACTCCCAATACACTGCAACAGAAGCAACAGCACTGTGTGTGGCCCACATTTAATAGCATGCGCAGTAGCCGGAGACTCTGCAGTTCTGCATTTTAAACTCTTCTAACTCCATCTTGTCTGCAGTTATAAATGGAGTTTGCTTCTGCTGCCCTAAAGGCCTTGCAAAGTTTTCGGGCAGGATTCCTTCTTAGCCCTAGCTAGAGTTGTCAGGATTGTTTATTTGTCTGTTGGTTTCACCTCTATATTATCTGATAGCTAGCTCTCTGGGCAGTTTAAAATCTGGGTTGAATCTGGAACCTGCTGCAGGCACAGTCTACAATTTACCACTGAGTTACAGCTGGTAACAGGCAACCTTTTCCCCCAAATTTCATTTTTAAGATGGGCCAAGGAATTACAAAACCCCATATAACATACACTTTGAACCTGGGTGAATCTTTATCATAATAGCAGTCCTGATGCAATCTTATTTATTATCTGTGGTGCTCAAATGCTAACTGCTCAGCTTAACTGGTTTTGAGTGTCCATAAGCTGAGCTACATCCATTATGAAAGAATAGAGAAATCGTCTTCTGGACTGGATCCCAAACAATAATAATGGGGACTCAAGGCATTGCCAGCTTAGGTTTCCAGCTCACCAAGAGATCTTTGCAGAACTGCTGTCTCCTGTCTTTCCCACCTCTGAACCAGAGGATTAAGTCAAAGACTTTCCACTACTGCCTCCCCATCTCCAGAGAAGCAGAAACTGGCCCAAAGTTCCAGTGAACTCCATTTTACAGTTCCAGGTATCTAAACTCTCTCTCTCTCTCTGTGGGTGAGGGGCGGGCTGGTCCAGGTTGTTTATTTGTTTGCTTGCCTTTTTTAATCACTCCTCCTCCTCCAAGGAAACATTTTGTCTTTGCAACATCTCTGTGAGGTCGGTTAGGCTAAGAATCAGCAGTTGGCCCAAAGTTTCCCAGTGAGCTTCATGGCACAGCGGGGCTATGAACAAGCGCCTCCCTAATTCCATTGTCCAAACACTACCCCTCACTTCTGTTCTATGTTAACCCTTATTTATTATTAGCCTATTTATTGGACTATTTATTCATTATTAACCTATTCTGATCAGTATTAAACTTTATAATGAACCTATGCATTCTGTTGAGAAGGACAATTTGCAGCTTTGTTGCTGAAAGCCATGTTACAATGCAATCCTAGGGATGTCTACTCAGAAGTAAGTGCCACTGAGTTCAATGGGGCTTACTCCCAGGCAATTAGGATTGCAGCCTTTTGTTTGTGTCTCTTTTCATAGGAGGATGATAGACTTGTATGAATAAATAATACTTATTCATTTAATGAATAAGCAAGTTTCTATGCTTTTATTAAAATAAATATTTGGAAAATATTTGGAAAATGTGGAAACAACAAAAAAGTGTGCTAGCCTTGAATGAACATCACCAGACTTTGTGTAATATATGATATCACTCAGTTTATGATGATAAAATGGGATGCCGTTCTTACAAGTAATCAGAAAAATCCAATATGTTAGAAAAATCCTGGTTTAATACCTTTCTGAGAGCAGATTCCCAGATCAAGATTCTGGGACACAAAGCTGTGCATGACAAAGTCTGATGGACTCAGCATCATTTTCTAGAGATAATTCACTTGAAAATGATGTGTTATAACACTAATGCTTATTATGTTTGGTGCTGCAAAATAATAATAGGCCTCTAAGAAAATTTGCCCTGTCCAGTCTTCCACTCTGAACTGGACAAGAGAGATAAAATGCTCAAGAATTAAGATGAGAGCGTTCATCATCCAGCGGCTGTGTGTGTTGGCAGGTAATCACTTGGCCTCGCTTGTGGCCTTCATCTGATTTATACCCTCTTGCGGGCAGGAGGGCTCAGCTGCCCTCTTTTCCAGCCACTGGCAGTGGAGGAGGCTCGGAGGCGCTCCTTGTCCACAGTGAGCCGGTGAGGACTGCAAAATGGCGGTGCAGCGGGGACTGGAGTGAGGCTCTGTATGGAGGGGACCGATCACGGTATTCCTCTGGGAGCCGGTGCAGCTGCAGAGTCAAGTGGCTGCAGCAGAGGCACAGGATCCCAAAAGATCCT